CAGTGGCTGCTGGAATCTGCAGTCAGGATATAATACTTTGGTCAAAGACCTACTACAGTCACCTAACATAGCCAGCCCTGGGGGATCCCACAGGGCTAGTGCTGAGGGTGCCATAGGGCAGCCCCTCCCAGCAAAAACACTGCAAGTCATTCATTTAACTCCCATGCAGCTTCCACAGATGATAACCCAAAAGCCAACTGCTTCTGTGAGGGAGAAGGGGCAGCTGCCTTTGGTGCATGGCTGGGAAGGGACCACCAGATGAAATGCGTAGAAAAAGTTCATTTCAGGCTGTAGTGTCCATTTATAGAAACTTAGGCATTCCTGGGAAAGCCACATTGCTATTTGGTCAGCACGCCCTGCCACACTGAGCCACATCCAGGACCTCGGAGAGTTGGCCACATTGCAATCCTTGTGATCCAAGTGCTCTGATCCACCCTGCCCTTTTTTAGAGGGGGAGAAAGGAGCCAGGGCTAGAGAATGTCAACCATTAACCACTGTGACTACCAGGTCCTCTTGGTTCCTTGCTAAAATCTTCTCTATTCTAATAGCTAAAACCCCGGGAGATACAGGGCCACGCTACAGAGGGATGTGAGGCAGACCACCACCTGCCCCTATTTCTAACAGGGATCAAATCTCATCTGAAGAGATGGGGAGCCTCCAGCAGGGACAGAACAGCCAGAGAGATCTAGAAGTCCACCTGAAGACAGGAATTCCACAGGATGTGCTCCATTTTCACAACACTTAGACTTTCAGATGCTGCCTTCCCTGAAGGGCAAAAGGTACAGAACAGAGTTAGCAGCGAGGCATCAAACAGCAGCACATGCTCGGCACAAACAGTGCTGCAGGCTCACCAGCACAAAAGCAATGGCCATTCAGATGTTGTAGATCCAATTATTTGGCAACACCCACCCACCCACTACCCCATGCAGACTCTTTCCCCCAATTCAGAACAAGAAGAAAGGACCTACCAGGAGAGAGAGCAAGCATTTGCCTGAATTTCATTCACAGCTTATCATCCAGTTTGTCCACTTCAAAAGCCATCACCTAATCACTGCTAGACTGGCACTCCCAGCAGTCTGCAGATAGCACCTAAAAGTTCTGCCTTGGGCCATTTCTGTTATGGAAGCCCTAAATCTTTGAAGTCACATGCCAGCTGCAGCAGCACAAGGACAGACCCCACCTGAAGATTAGCAAGGTGCTGCATCATTTTTCCCCAGAGGCAGAGATTAATGCAAAGCTGTAGTTTTCTCCCAAACCACATCAACACCTTTTATCAACCCCTGCTAAAAAATGACGAGGCAAAATTACAGCAGAAACGTTGTCTAACATGCCTGCATCCTTACTCTCAAGCCCATCAGCTGCTTTTTTCTTTTCATCAGAATGGCAAGAGCCAGGAACAAGGTCTATTTCAATCAAAAAAAGTGACAATATTTGTGACAAAGCAATACAAAGCCACAAACACAAATGTTCTTTCATTGCCCCTGTGCAACACAGTCACACAATTGTCTGCGTGCTGCCCATGTCCCTTGCCCATCAAGTGACAACAGGAAGATACAGCAGTAAGAGATATGCCTAAAACCAACATGCCTGAAGAAGCGTGGCCCAAGCACAGCAATCCAGCACACGCCATGGCAGCTGAAGCAGAGAACTGGTACCTGGCCACCACGCTCCAGCTTATAAATCTCAAAAAGCCACGAGAATTTAACTCATTACCTAAACATCCCCACCACTGTGTTAGTTCTGTCATGCCACAGCACCATGTTTCCTCATACCCAAAAGACAGCAGAGCAAGTATGTTAAAGGAAGGGGCAAGGCCTGCTGCTCCAGAAAGCACATACACCTGCAAATGCTAGTATCTCAGGAGAGCATTTCTTCCTGCTGTGGTCCTGCCACCAGAGAGAATGAGGGGATGGTCTCCTTCCGACATAGAAATCAGAAGCCTGTTTGCTGCAACCTGTCGGGTCTGAACCACTGCCCCAAACAGGGAACAGGCTGATGAATCAATACACCAAAATGCAACCAGCACGGCCTTACACAAACCACTCTCTCCCACCCACCTCTTGTCCATGGGACTTCACGTAGATATCCAGCACCAAGCTCCTCCAAAAGTGACACTGCTGATGACGTAGCAGGCACGCTACTCCTGATGGCTGTATTTCAGAAGCATGTCAGACAAATTCCTCCCAATATTCAAACAGATCTGAAGGACATTAGTGAACTCTTCAAAACACTTCTGCTTCCTTAGCAATGAGATGCTAATAGTATTTTAATAACACTAATATTTTAATGCCAAAGTATCCAACATGCAAATAAACACCATTCTACACCTCCCCATACATGCATTTGCAGGGACAGGGAAAAAGAATGGAAAAACCTATGCATCTCCCTGTTAAAATGGGGAAAAGTAAAATGTCATGAAAACCAGCAGTGGGTAAAGAAGGGAATGTGATCACCTCCTCCACAGGTGTCCACACTCTTCTAGAAGCTCTCCAGCATTGATTCAAGAGTCCTCAATCTAACCCTTCTTTGCACTTCAGATACCACAGCCAACACGTGATCAGAAACAAGTGAGGAGAATCTGATACTCTACTAGGGTTTGTTTGTTTGTTTTTTAAAAGATATTTAATACCCAGTCTGACTGATTTAATGATTTACTTTTCAGGGCTAACTTTGAAACTGAAGGTTACCACCACTCAGCAAGCAGCAGCAGCATCCTGAGCAGACATCACCCCAGCAGACCTCAATGAAGCAGCAGGCAGGGCTCTCCTCAGGACAGCGCTGCTTAAGTGCTGTCTAAGGCTGAGAGGGTAGGAGCAGAAAGAGGGCAGGTATATCAAAAAAAGCAGCAGTGACACTGCCGCACTCCTCCATATAGTTGGTTGCAATTCTTGATGGAGAGGGACATCAGTGTTTAGCATTCAATAATAATAGTCATGATAACAACTCATGACAGAGTTTTCCACCTTGAGGATCTGTAACTAAGTGACGTGGCAAGGAAAGGAAAACCATGCAGTTTTGTAGAGGAATGAGCATAGGGAATAATTTGCCATGCTGGCATACTGCAATTACAAACCCACTGTATTATACCCTTTGCTAACACTCCCTAACACACAGTCTTTAACTGCAGAGTCAGGAAAAAAGGATGCCTTTATTTCTTCCCCCTGCCCACCATCACCAGTAAACAAAATAGCTACTTTTCATTCACTGTGATTATGCACCTCAGGACCCTTGACTAAGGGAATTAATAGGTCCTTCCTACGGAGTACGCCCTGCCTTTAGTCATTGCCATTTCTGACTTCTCCAGTTCTCTAAAAGGAAGTCTGGGCTTACAAAGCAAAGGCTATGTACTGAACTGAGGTCTCATTGCCATGTCAGTTCAATCTCCAGAGCAGTGTGGAGCTCCAAAAGCGTAGCCAAAGTTTGCTTTTCACAACCGTTACACTAACCCCCTCCATTTAGGACGATGAGGATACCACACACGCATATAGCATAGGCTGAAACCCACACTGTTTGGATTTGTTATGCACATTGTTGAGTAACTCCACCTGAATAATTAAAAAAAGTCTGACAGCAAAATGCTCAGTTACTTATTTACTCCTAAATCAGCAGAGTGCTCATGCCAAGTTAAATGCCTTCCACTCTGAAGATTCACGTAAAACACATAAAAACCAGCCCACTAGCCTGGGTGATAAGAGCAAAGAGGAAAGCTTAGATTCACTCAGAGAAAGATGTTTTCTCTTTCCAGAGTCTCCTTAATTCCCTAGCGCTGTTCCACAGACTTCAGTTCTTCAAATACCATCTCTGAGCATTCACTCTTTTTGCCTCAGGAGTATCTAAATAAATACAGAAACCCAGGAATGTGGGGAAAGGAGACCTCAAGCCCATGGCACACAAAGTTATCTGTGAGGAAGAACCATGCATCAGAAACGAGCTGAATTGCAAACCATTCAAATCTGAATAGCAGCCACCCACAGGCTGAATCAAAGATGGTCCAGGGTGGTGCACAGTCACATGTAGCAGAGTACATTGGATCTCAAAGCAAGGGACACAGGTCCAGCCTAACAGCTAATGCCAGGTTCCAATTCCCTCTTCTTGGTGTCAGTGTTGCAGAGCCACACTCACTTCGCTTATGCCATGTTGCATCAGTATTGGCCTATCTGCTTCATGCAAGAGGGATGAGTGGGTGTTCTGGTGCAAGGGTCAAGAAGCTACTTCCCTGATCCTTCCAAAGCTGTGGAAAAACTTATCTCCTCCAAGCACCAGCTGACTACAAGAAAAGACTGTCACAGCTTGAGGAAGAGTGGGACACTGGCCTCCTTGACCCACCTTCTTACAAGAGTGCTCAGGGAGCTTACCTGGCCCTAGCTTGATGGAAGGTTTGTTTCTTTTCAAAGCAACTGCTGGTAGAAACTCTGTACCTCCTTTTTAAGAGGTGTGAAAGTGCTAAAGTCATTTTCCTCCAGGGCTCAGTGGCAAGTACCCTTTTCAGTATACAGCTAATCTCCTTTGTCCCACCTAGTTGTCAGCAGGAGGAAGATATTGCAGTGTCAAGTCCAGATGCAACTGCAGATCTGAGGTTTCTCAGCAGCGCACATTCCCCTCCATCCCATCCATGGTTCTACTGAATCACACCCCTGGACTAGAGATTCGCAAACACGAGAGTAGGAGAGGACTGGAGAAGCCTCCCGAGTCCAAACACCTCTCAAAGCCAGACCTGTACCCAACCCCCATGCTGCCTCCAACTTTGTAGACTTGGGTCCCACCTGCCTTTGCCACCACCACCAGCCCACAGCCTAACCCCAGCTGCGTCCCTCCAGGTACCAGCTGCATTTCCCAGGGGGGAATTTAGTGTAACTGCCTCTTATCCCTGCTGCTGCCCTCCAGACCCTGTGCATCTTTTCCCCCTCCCTGGTTTGCCCCCTTAGCACTTCCAGTCCCTGGCCAGGCAGGTGACAGCCCACTCCACGTGCCTGGCCAGGCAGGGGACAGCCGCCCATTACCTGGTTCCCAAAGACAGCAATGGAGCAGGCAGTGGAGACCTCACGGGGGCCGAACCAGACGGAGGCGATGCGCGAGGGCATGCCCAGGATGAAGACCTGGGCCAGGGAGCAGATGACCTGCCCCAGGACGGTGATGGGGAAGAGGTGCGGCTTCAGGCTGCCCAGCTTCACCCAGGCGCCCAGGGCGTTGAGGGCCGAGCCGGCCAGGGCGATGAGGCGCAGGCCCCTCTTGTCCAGCAGCCAGGCGACGGGGAAGAGCAGAGGGATGTAGGTGACCATGTAGCTCATGGAGAGCCAGTCGATGGCGAAGGCGCTCACGCCGTAGAAGCGCGCGAAGACGTTGTTGATGCTGCCATACTGGATCCACTGGAAGGCGTTGCACAGGGAGTAGCTGCTGAAGAGCAGCACCACGACCCAGCGACGCCGGGACAGCCGCACCTCGGCGGTGGCAGCGGCAGCAGCGGCCTCCCCCGCCGCCGCCAGCCCCAGCGCCCCGGCAGGCTCCTGCTGCACCATGCCGGCAGCGGGGGCCGCTCGGCTCGGCTCGGCCCGGCCCGGCCCGGCTCGGCTCG